GTCTGAAACCCTATAGATGAACGTCAGTTAGCGGTGATGACGAGAGGGGGACCATCTTGTCCATGGGAGAACACTCTTTTAGTTTTCATCCTTCTACCAATAAGGCTACGCCGTGAATCCCTGGAAGTAATTCAATCAACTGTGCCCTGCATCAATCGGCATCTCGGTTTAGATGCCACTCACAAATTCCTCAGGGAAAAATGAAAGCCAGTGTAGCCAATGTCGAGGGCATGAAGAGATGCAATTGGCGTGCAATGGCGTAAGCTTCAGCCAACTGCAGAATCACTTCTTCGACAGGGTTAAAGGGTGAACTGTTTTTGTGCGTGTCTCAAGTCTGACAATGAGCTGGGGAACCTGTATCGTAAATGTGCGCGCAATAAGAGTTAATGTGTTTCCAGATAATCTCGCCTACTGTAAACGAAGATGTTCTCATAGGCCACGTGCAGTCATCACAGACGTTGATGTTTCTCCTTCCTTGCGTGTGTATATGTTCATGCTGAAGAAGTCAATTGAGGAACCAACAAACTTTGTTTCGGATATTTTAAAACGTATTGCCCTAGGTCGTCGTTGTCGTCGTCGTCGTCAGACGTACAACTGGTGGGCGAGTTCGCAACATTTTAAAAAGTGACGTCCGAGAGAATCTCTCCAGACTACACGCATGCATCAATTACAGTAGGTCTACTAACTGATGAAATGTCAACGGGAATTTCGAAATGCGTTTTCGTTTCGAAAAGATTAATTAATTAGGGTTGTAAAACTAGTTAGTCTGCAACATGATAGTTCAGTCACCTCAGGATGCCGACGTTCGAATGAACTTCCATCCGGCTGCATTCAAAAACTGCACTCTGTAAAAAATGACTACTTACTTAGCATAAAATTTTCTCATTGACTTTCGATGCCCTGAATAGTCCAATTATATTTCATGGAAAACATGCACACAAATATTCATTCTTCTGGTCTTTCGGTAGATAATTACGCCTTCTTCTAATTTGATGCTCGAGGGATAGGTATAATTCGATTTTCAACGATATTAAAAGTCCAACAATTAGAAACTTTTTTAAAGCCGAATTATACCCTTCCTTCGAGCATAAATTTAGTAGATTTGTGTCCCATATCCAGAGCATGTATGGATAATCGTGGCAGATGGTCTGCCTTCAGCATCCTTCATTGATGATCATGACTGTGTGTGTAGTGGCAGATTTGCTAGTTTCATCACAACATCCTGCATTGCAGACATCACAATGACTGTTGTATGCGAATATTCACGCTTACCAAACTGGTCTACCCAATCTTGAGGGTGTACCAACAGCGTACATAGTGTAGTCGTCGGCTACTGGGCCACTTCTATATGATGTTTCCTAGTGCCACTTTCTACACCTATCTCCGTCTATATCCACATCAGTTGGTCAAAACACACAGTGCCAAGCAGCCCCAGGGAACGTACTCGTTTATGTTCAGACGCTGTAGGAAGTCCATGTAATCAGTCCTGATGGAGCCGAATGGACCGGGAAATAGGAGGATATTGTTGGCTCCTAGGCCCTGACGAAGATAGTGGATCTGGATGGAAAGAACATCCTCGTAGGCACCAAACATGTGGTTTATGTCGGGATCCCTGAGGCCAATTAAAGAGGAGGGAGGAGATGAGACGTAGCTGAAACTGCCGACGAAAGGACGTAGTAGTCGACCACCGACAAGCAGTCCTCTGCGTCCAATAATACGATTGAGCATAAACATGCAATTTCTATAATGATTCAGAAAGAAGAAAATGTAGTTAGATGTTGTAAATTGCAAACCATCGACACATATGTCACTGCATTACCTGGTGCAGCATAAATGTAGATATGTTGTGTGCAATTTACTCAGAATGACGGGACGCATCGGCCTTTAATACTACTTAAATATGATGACAATATCAGTAAAGACATGCCCGTGATTTGCCATACTTCCTTCCATGCAGGACGCAGCGCATAGCCTTGCACACCAAATGCGGTGAGATGGATGCTAGGAGCAGTGTCACGTCGAAGAACATTATCGCCTCGTGAAGCTGAACTTTGGCTCGCGGGAATTAGTGAGGAGTGGAGATGTCGATTTTACCGACGTCCCAGATGAACCTCAAAGAAGATGTGGGGATTGTGAGTCATCCGGCTGACTGGGCTGCCGCCGAGGGCTACGATTAGTCGAGGTGAAAGGTGGGATTTGTGGATTAGGGGTAATCCCTAGCATCTACCTGACGCCCTGCCGGTTGCTTCTCTTTAATGCCATTCGTCCAACCCATACCTGCACTGAGTCAGAAGAAGACCGTTTAAATGACTAATAACTAACCTGTCCTGCGACGGTGGCGGAGATGTTGTGTGGTAGGACAATCAGCGGTTGAGGCGAGTTTGTGTGCCTGTGACAGTCCGTTCGCCTGGTCGACTGTCTGGTTATTCTCTCATGACGCCTTCTGTCA